GACAAAATCCTTCAATTTTATCAGCATTTCGGTTTTAATGTGCAGTCATTAGCAGGCTTATTAAGAAAGTGAGCTATGGAAATTGGCTCCACGTATTTTTTTTCTCTCTTCTTTTCTTCTTCTTCTTCTTCTTTTCGTGCTTTGCTTGTCTCACCACTCGTGCAATTGACGATATGCAAAACAAACATGTTAGTCGAGACGGTTTTCGCTCAATTCGACTGACGTGAAAAACTAATGTGAATAAAAATTAGCCTAAGTCTGCCTGTTTATAATTACATTAGTTGAGATTCGACCTGTATTAATTGAATGAAATCTAAAAATTATCAATTAACCAACGGCACCAACGACGTAATTCAACGATGCTTTCGACACAAACGGTTACAAAGTGGTTTTCGGTTGCAACAAAATCGTGGGTCTGTGGCTCTCTTCCTCACGCACTCTTTGACGTCACGTCAATCTGCCGTAGTCAAACTATTGTAATTGAAATATCGTGTAGCGGAAACAGAATCCACTGAATAGATTTCACTCAAGCAAAAAGCTTTTCATTTATCAACAATAGCAACAAAAATCAGATTGACCGATGTCAATTCAGTTCAGTTTGAATCAATGTTTTGTCATTGTGCATGCTTTGCGCATCAACCCAACGGCATATTAGGCAAAATGTGAGTTTTTTTTGGTGCGATTATTCGACAATTGCTTCATCACGAAATCATTGTTTAGTAAACACCTTTTTCTCCTCTTTGCCGATTGTCGATCATTATCTATGGCAAACTTTTCATCAGACATCCACACGCAATATTGTTCAAATCGCGTGGCCTGAAACTTCCTCAATTAAATTGTGACTTCGATTGGCACGGCTAATAGATATTAGAAATGATTAAATGTGAACATTTGTGAAGAAATATCGCGTGCATGGTGCCATCAATCGAAAAGAAATTCATTACAACTTAAATCGTTAGCGGACTTTTTTTCTGTTATTTGCCGTTGTCTTTTGTCTTTCGAACTTCATGGGGCAGTAATCAGCATCACTTCCCATCGTGTATGGTGTTTCTGGTTGGATTTTTTTCCCTCTTCGGCTGTGTTTAGTCAAGTCATTTGTTTTTTTTTTTTGTATCAAGTTTTGGCATTTTGAACCACGGCATAACTTAAATCGTTACTCTTCCTACCTACCGATCAACCAAATGACAATAAATCAAATGAATCAAACGGATGCCATTGTTTTAGAGAGAGAGAGAGAGAGAGAGAGAGAGAGAGAGAGAGAGAGAGATGAGAAGAGAAAAATGCGGCAGCACAAGTTGTGCCATTTAAAGCATTCATATTTAATTTATAACATTCAAATCGCAGAAAATCGCACTTTGATCATTTATATGCGGCGCTAATTGCAATACGAACATCTTTTACATAACCTAATCATAAGTGGTTCCAATTTTTTTTTCTTTCATTTCTGTACACATTCATTTGGCTTCATGCCGTTGTGTCGTCTCATCAACCACTTATTTAATTTGGTTTTTTTTTGTTGCTGTTCTCTCGTCGTCTGGTTCGGGTTTTTCGTTTCGCTTAATTTGATTTTTTTCTATGACTAGGAATTTATGTAATTTAGTGTAAATGTCAAATGGGGACTCGTGTTTGTTCCATTTCTGACATTCTGATGTCTGCCAGCTGATTTTCCGTAACAAGAATCAATTTGTTGACATTCTGATTCAATAGCAGCAACGGCAATGCGGTGATGGTCGAACAGGACGTCAGCAATCATGTTAATTCAATATTAGCAAATGAAATGAGGTCCATTATTCCGATCTTGTACCATCTATTTTTAAAATTGTTTGGCATTCCTTTTTTTATTGGCGACACTGTGTCGATCAACTTTAATCGCCCTCATTAGGTTATCGAGGAATCCATCATCTAAATTATGTAGCGTATCGACGTTAATCCTTTTTCAACTTGATGACACATTTGAACTTCAAACGAGAAATTACAACAGATCACATGTACGCAATGTGAGTATTTTTTTTTGTCGTTCAAATTCTTCTTTTTTCTCAATATCAACCGCAAGATTTTTATATCCCTTGAGATTCATACACGCATCAAACGTTGTATTGACTCAGAAAATACTAATATTTATGTTTTGATTCCGTAAATTTGTAAAGAAAACAATTAAAAGCAACAGCACAGCAATTAATTATTTATTATTTACAAATTTGTGTCTTTGATGATAATGTGATCATCGGTTTTGCTGATTTTCCGTCAATGATAAAATTGCGAAAATTGTGACGAATAGTGAAGAGCGATCAAAACAAAACCCATTTAACTGGTTCGGCCAATAGATTCCATTCTAGTCACGCTATGTGGAACGGATTAAATGTCTTCGTTATCATTTGATTTGTTTCTTCTTCTTCTTTTACACACCGTTCCATTCTAAATGAACGAGGCTCATATTTTGAATATCTCATATATTGAAGTCTATAGTTTTTTTTCGCCGATCATGATAAAATATTTTACGAAATTTCATTATGAATTCGACTAGCGATTTGATTATTCTGTCACTGCGTTGCCAATAATGGGCAGGAAAAAAATCCATATCAATCATTTCAATCATATGCACGCAAGGCTTTTTTCTCTCTCTCTCTCTCTCTCTCTCTCTCTCTCACACACATTTGCCCGTCGCATGTGCTTTTTTCTCTCCTTTTGTTGGATCGTTTCAGCGAAAATGAATTTCAGATTTAGTGAAATTCCATTTGCTCGGCTTCACTATGCGTCTCTCGTTAACACTCGGCCAACTTGGTTTTAAATAAATGCATTACATCATAAGATATTTTTTCGGAGGATTTTTATCCATATTTCTTGATAACATTGATATTTTCATAATCTCTTTCCCGCATTTTGCGAATAGATATATATTTTTTAACAAAATCGGTTTTTAGGCCAACAATTTTATATAAATGGCCACTTTCATACATATGCAGTAAATGGATTTTATATTGGAATGCTTTACGATTTCGAATTCGATTGAGGAGTGTGAAAGTAACTCAATTTTTTGACCTAAATGGCACTAGTTCTGGCTCACGTGGTCTTTTTTTTAATGGATCTGAATCCGGCAAAATACAATTCCAAAATATTCCACGAAACTAACACTTATGCTATAATTTCACACTAGGTTTTATTCCACGCTTCGTATTTTTTTCTCGCCATTATTCTATCATCTTTTTTAGCCCCAAATTCGGCTTCTGTTGTGGATCTTTTTTTTCTCTTTTTTTCCTTTCTTTTTTTTTGTCTGAGCCCGCACATACGTTGATGCCAGGGGAAAAAATAGATGAAATAAAAACCGACCAAATTTGCAAATGAAATATTCATATCATTTAAGTTCACGAAATCTCATAGCAACGGCTGACAATGCGATCATCAATTCTGAAATGAGCTATTGAATTGTTCTGAAATGCTTTCAAGATGATATAAGATAAGGTTTTGCTGTGTCTCTGTGTGTATGTGTATTTCAAATGCCAAAAACATATTGATTGCCTTCATTCGGTATTAAGAATGAAGACAACTCAAACATTGGCTGAATGGACACAATGCCACAATTTCCTTATAAAATTTTTGAGCCGCACGGCCATGCTATTTTGCATCTATTTTAATATTTGGCTCGTTCTTCGCATCTTTTACTGTTTCTAATCTTTTAAATTTATGATGAATTGACTAAAATGCATATGAAAAGAATGAAAACGATTTTATGCGATGGGAGGATCAAAAAAGTTGAATATTTGAATAAATCTAGTTTAGTGAATGTTTGGATTTTTCACTTTTTTTTTCTCGCAATTATTTATTGTATCATCTTCCATTTGGCCAGGGCGAGAGAGACTCGCATCATTCTTGACGAACGTCATCGTATATTCATTTGATGTATGTGTTGTATCAATGAAAAACCCTCCCAAACTCGGACGATTTCATGAACTTGTGCATATATTTCGAGCAAATTAAATATTCTACACAGTGAAATCAAATAGTGATAAATCCATGAATAAATGTTTGTAAATTGTACCCAATCACATGGGTAGCAGCTTGATGGAACCGATGAAAAAACTGAGTTGTAAGTTTAATAATTTTTGTAAGCTTCAACGAAACCAAATCTTTTGAATTCTCATAGAAATATTCACTTCGGCAAAACTGTGCGTTTTAATTGGGAAATGAAAGAAATTAATCGCATAATCACTTTATCACATCATGTGTATTTTGTCTATCTAAGTACAGTCCGTTGTTGTCACAGGGCAGAATGATGATAAATATTGCAGCAGATGTTAGCAACAATCTCAAATTAATTACAGCACACAATTTTAGAGCAAGTGATAAACAGTAATTGAGCTTGGAGCCATGTGTTGAGATTAAATAGAAATAAACAAAATATTTCGTTCAATCAATCGCTATGGACTGTGGACTCAATTATTATCGAATTTTCTGATAATTTTTTAATTAATCACAATTCAAGAAGAATGAGAAGACTAACTACCGCATCAATCAATTACATTATCTGTCAACTATGGATTCGCTCTTCAACGAAGTATTTAAATTCAGTCGAATTGGGCGTCGACTTTACGATAATAGCTTTGTTGCACGTGTCTTCTAGCGAGCCAAATGGGATTTATTAATTATTTCTGATGCTATGCGGTGGGATGAACAAATTTTATTTCATTTCCAGTGAAAGCTTATTTTAAAACATGATTTTTTGGGGCAGAGACAGCACCTTCAAAAATTATCCAGGTGTTTATACTCGAGTCTTACACATCAATTGGATTAAAAGTGTCGTGAAGAATATGGCAATGATGCACAAAGTCTCAAGTGCATTTTTCGCAGCAACGGAAACCATTTGTGTTTTGATCACAATTCGATCATTAACTTGCTGTGTGCTGTTTAAGAAATTCAATAAATCGAAAAAGTCAGAGATAAATCACATTTCCAGTCCATAAGGAAGTGATGCTACAAGCAGGAAAAGAAAACTCAAATCTATCTAAATAATTTAATCATATAAATTCCTCTTTATTTCTCCCTGTTGAAAATACACTACAGTTTATCGGCTTCATTTCGCTTTGTATTTCTCTCTTCACATTAATAAAAAAACGATCTCTTAAAAATTGCAGTAAAGAATATGTTAACGACACACTTAGGAAAGATTCAACAAATGTTCATGTGAAGGGCATTTGTGTAGGAATATATTGCCATATCTATTTAATTGGTACTGGTTGGTATAATGAGTTAGCATTATTGAGGTCGCTAAATCTCTCTTTATAATAATCAATTTGTTTAATAGTTTTATCTATCAATCTTTTGTATATATATACATATATATATATATTAATTTGGAGCATTTTTTTCAACCATGATTTTCTAATATAAATTACAATTCTTAGCTACGAGACGTATGACCAATTGCTAATGGTAGTTCGATTGCAAATTGATATGCTTTATTTGATAAAATTGTTTTCTTTTTTTTCGAAAAAGAAGGGTTAAGAATCGGAATCTTGAAATCAATGGATGTGTTGGTTCAAGATGCAAAACGAAAAGCACATTCGAATGTTATGTGTCTAAGGCCCCGGATAATATGCACCACTTATTCTACTAGTTGGCTGATTATAATAAATATTATGAGGAGGTTGTTGAGCACATTGCGGCATATTGTATGGTACATTTGTCGGCATCATCGTTGACTGTGGATATGCGTTCATTGAATATATCGATGGCGGTTGATTACCTATAAAAATACAAAATACGAAAGACCCGTTGAAACACATGATTCAACACTGAAAAGCCAATTTCAATTTTACCTGTGCATGGTTGTGGTAATGGCGGTGGCGGTGGTGGCGGTACCGAGCATGTTGTTGCAAAACTCGATCGATTGGCCTTTACAAATTCGGACGCTGATAAATTATTGTGTATGCCATTTTCAGTGTTCATGTCTTTTGTTGGAGGATCTTTCGGTTTCAGTCGTTGGGCGGGAATGGGTGATATGGCCACTGCCGTTTTGGCTTTTATCGATGGCGGTGAACTGCCTTCGGCCAATTGTTGTGCCTGTTGATTGGGTTGCTGATACAAGTCAAGCACTTGATGGCAAATATCTTCGAGAATTTCCATCGTTACATCGGATATAAACATGTCCCACCATCGTAAATGTGTTGGTTCTCGCCCAATCCAGTCGGTTGCCGTAAATTTGCTTAATTTGCTAGCTAAATGTATAAGTGCAACAGCGATAATTTCTGGTTCCCATTGCAGGCAAACCGTTGTGCTGAGTGAATCGTTGACAAAATTCCAGGCCATTTGCACCATTTTTTGTAGCTTAGATTTATCACCTTTCAAACTTTTGGCGTACGAAACGAGAAAATTGTACGGATGCTCGACTTCTAAATCAAATTTTATGGTTTGTAATAGTATACTTTCGAGTGTCATGACCTCTTCTTTGGCTTTTCGCAAATCTTCGCTGAATGCCTGGAATTTTGGATCGGGCAATATTGAACGGGCCGTGGTTATGATGTCACGGCATTTCTTTGGCGTTTCTTCCACTTTGCCGGCCAAAAATAAGCAGCAACAGGCGGTAACGTAGCGCGGAAATTCTTGAAACGTATGAAACATATAAAAGCGATGGAAGTAAATTGCACCCGTTGCAATTGTATGATGACCCAATATCATTTCTGTGCCACATTCCATGATAAATCTGGTGCCTTCTTTACGATACCGGCGTTCCGTTTCAAAATCCATGCCATCACGAATGGACGGTGTGTTTCGTAGCTCTTTTTTGTCATAGTACCAACACGGCATCGTTATTGATAATCGATCATTAAAACACAATTTTGAGCAAATCACTCTCTTCTTTGTTGTTTTTTTTTCTTTCTTCCGTGTGTGTGTTTCGTATTTCTTTCTTTTCTGGGGGCCCGATACACAGTCGCTACGAAATGTACATTTGGTAAAATTTATTGTCTCCTTTTTTCTACTTGTTCACACTTAAACACTATACGCTATGACTATTAATAAAACTAAAATCGGTTTAATTTTGAAAAGAAATTTGAAGCAAAAATAATTCGAATTCCTGTATTTGTTGTTAAAGAATAAATGAATAGAAAAATATAACCAACAAAAAAACTATCTATGTGTATTTATGAGAAGGAACTTTTGACAAATAAACGTCAATGTCACGAGTCATATGACATTTTCTTTCTCACGTACAGCGCTGCTCATTGGCTTGTATCGCAAACCAAATGCTTGTTCAAATGAATTTTTGCAGGTTTTTTTTCCGCTCTGTAGTTAAAATCATTCAAATACGAATTGAAAATCAGTCCGAAATCATTTCATCTGGCTCTTGAAGAATTTCAAAAAATAAAATTTTCCGGCATAAACATTCCTTATTCTTTGGCATTCGTATTGTACTCGGTGGTTGTAGCATTCCGCAGTGACCATACCGACACCATTATATAGGCACGCTATCGGAAACATTGTGAACTAAGTTGACACCGTCGGCCGCATAATATCTATTCGCAAAGTAAAACTTTTTTCATATTTCGATTGAAAAAAGTTGAATTGTGTCTTGTGTCGAAAATAAAGGCAACCAAAAGTGTGAGCGAAAAAAAAAACACGGAAAATAAACAAAAAGATCGCAACAAAACGGCACTTGTTTGCAAACAATCATGTAGTTATGGTGCAAAGCGTCGACAATATTTCCATGGGATACATGCCGATATCAATCTATTGTAAACATGGTAATCATTTAGAACAAATGCAATAGTGAGAAGCAATAGCTAAAATCAAAAACCCTGAGGATATATTTTTGGGCTTGCTGCCACTCTCTCTCTCTCTCTCTCTCTCTCTCTCTCTCTCTCTATCTCTATCTCGCTCCCTATCTTTCGTACAAAACACCATTCGGATTGCAACTATTTTGAATTTAAATACGATCCGTGCTAAGCCGTGTGTGTGCGTTTTCATAGTTGGCATTGAATTGTAATTTTGTGTATGTGATTTGGATGGGCTTTGATTTCATGTGATTGATAATATCGACAAATCAAAGCTAATTGAGTGATGATTACCGTGGTCTTTAAATCAGTCAGGATAACAAATTGTGAATGTATTAAATGAAATTTTGTGATAAATAAACATCAAATTAGAGGGCATTTGTTTTATTGATTTGTACATTGGATTTTATGTCGTTTCGTAGTTTCTCTTTCTCCCTCTCGTTCTGTGCCTCATTTTTTATTCGTCCACTTTGAAGCGTAGTTTTTAAATTATCCTCTCATAAATTATGCACAAACTTTGCTCAATTTGTCGTTCAATAGACGTGTTGACGTGAGTGTAATGATATTGTCGCAACACGCATTGAATCATTAATTATTGCGGTGGATAAAAATGTCGGGTGTGCAAATATCTTGAACGAAACAAAAGCATACACACACACACACACAATACCGTTTGATTAGTTTGCGCTTCATTTTCAAAATTGAATGCAAACAGATAAGACATGATAAGATAAGCATTTTGTGAATTTGTTGCGTTTTAATGACTTTTGCGCTTGTCTCGATTCGAAAGCCATTGAAAGCGAAAAAAAAAACGTACAAACATCGCATCATCTGATAATTGATTTCCAGTTAACATATCTGTCATTCAAACGGCTATAGTGTCGATCCAATATATACTTGTGTATTTCCACGTCCAATACATTATATTAATTTCTGTGTGAATTTTAGTCGATTTTGATCGAATCCCTTGTGAGACACTTTTCTATTTACCATAGTGACTAGATTTATGATTAACTAAGTGTGATTAATAGTCAACTGATTTGGGACATTTTGACTAGAGATTTTGTGCGTAATTTAACTGGAATTTCAATCAATATACAGCTGACTACATTTAACTGACTAAACCGGCCAATTTGATTAAAATGATTTAACGTTTTTCTTTTAAATGGAACAAAATTTCAATTATAGTTCGTAGGAAAAAAAAAATCCAGCCTGAATGTCTCAAAACAGGCGTTGATATTTTTGCACAAGGTATCATCAATATTGGATTTGTATAGAACTTTGGACTGCTTTCAATTTACACATTGAATTTTATTGTATTCCGATGTGAGTGTTGTCGAACAACCAGATTGCATAAAAATAAACAATTTCCGTCAAGTTAACTGAACTGTGTGCACTTTAACAAAGTGGATAACGAAAAAGTGCGCAAATATTTTGCTACCAACAAAGAAGCTGCTGTTACCGCTGTTGGTTATTTATACTCTTTAATTGTATTTTTATGTCTGCTGCGGCGGCGGTGGTGGCGGCCACAACAGCAACGGTGATTGTACGAAAGTTAAAAAGAATTTTTTTTAAACAAGAATCGACAAAAATCTTAGAGGCTTATGTGTCATGCGGGTCGGCATAAATCTTACAAGTTAGTAGACGAAATATAGGCAGCCGCACGAGTCTTGAGAATCTGTGATAAGACTCGCGCGTCTTTCACGAAACTTCAACGAGCCTTCCATATGAATATACGAAGCATTGAACCGAACTATTTGAAATTTGAGTACATGTCAGTTGACTCGTACAGACTTGCCAAATAGTTTCCGTGCTACAATTCGCAGAGACTCGTGTCAGATTGTCATGAATTTGTTTGAGTCTACATAGGAATAATGCGTGTTGTTTCTGACTCACCACAACAAATAAGCCCCTCGCAAAAATCACTTATGCACATCACTAACTAATAGCATGTAATTTTTGTTTCTTTCTTTTTCCTTCTCTCACACACAGTGTTCATATACAGTCATTAAATCGACAACGTCAATTAATAGGGTTTGAGTTGCATGGCGACAATTTGAATCATTGAAAACAACTTCAATAAAATTGACACGGTGTTAGACCGTGCTTTGATAACGTGCAACAAAGTATCATACATACACACAAAAACCGCTGGAACTGAAAGGGTTAAGGCATCGGCTGTTGTTGTGTATTCGGTTTGAATTTTTTTACTTTCTACATCAAGCAAAAAGTGGAGCGTAAATGTGAAAATCAGAGAAATGCGAATAAAAACCTTCTCAATAGTATTCGGCTGTGTCGTGATCACCAGTTATGTATTTGTTATGATAAGTTCGACCCGAGAGCAAAATGATTCAATTAAAACGATTGTAACACAAACTCATCAGCACTTCAAGGAATTACAGGTAAACAAAATTGAACCGGCAACCGTTTCACGGTCAACGAACTCTTTTGAATGTCGATGGTTTGACTTGAATTGAACTGTTTTCTTTTCCAATCAACAACAAAAAACAGGAGAACTTAGTATCGAATAAAAAAATATTGGAAATCGATCCCAAGTATCTGATTGTATTAGGATTCGCAGCCCCTGCAGCAGGAGCATCATCTTCATCATCATCATCATCATCATCATCGTCGTCATCAACACCACTGTTGTCATCACCGTTGCCGAGACAAGCACCCTCAAATCACAGCAAATCCAATTTCACCGTTGTCAGCTATGTGCTCAATGGGCAAGCAGCATCCGCAATATCGCTCATACAAAATATTGCCAGCAAACTTCCAAACGAAACGTTAATATTGTACGATATTGGATTGTCAGACGATGATTCACGTGCACTGAACACATATTGCAACAATACAAAATGCACTGTGATTGTATACGATTTATCACAATTTCCGGCTTATGTGAGCGATGAACGAATGCATGCATTTCGGCCGCTTCTCATCAAAGATGCGCTCAATCATTCGAAATCCGTTTTATTCATTGAAAATAATGTACGGATACGCAGCTTAACCAATGAACATCGGGCCGAACTCTTCCGCCATGTAAATGGTAGCGGTGTCCTTGGATGGACCACCAGATTGGCTGTGTCAAGTCGAACACATCCAAAAATGTTTTCTTACTTTCAAACCGATGCCGAAAATTTCATGTTTTTGCCAATGGTTTCAATGGATGCCGTTCTATTCATCGACTCTGAATTGGTCAACGAAAAGATTCTGTTACCGTGGATAAAATGTACACTTACATTAGAATGTATTCACCCGATAGGTAAGTGCTGCCCTGGGAACATCATTACATTTCATTGAAGAAAAAAAAAACTGTCGATCTTTTGAGAGAGACAAACAAACATATGTTTGATAACTACTAATTGTCGTCTATCATCGTTTCATGCAGGTGCCCAATCCGGTGGTTGCAGGTTTAATAAAAAACCATTATATAGATACTCCGGCTGTCATGCATACGATGTATCTGCCTTCAATATAGTCCTCGGCCTTACGTGGAATTTCGATGAAACAAAATACTCCTTACGTGGTGAATCCAATTTTTACTACTTAGAAACGCTCGAACAAGCAACTAAAATCCTAGAGAACAAACGCAAGAATATCAGCGACACGTCTGAGCATCTCTTTACAAATGATGACTAAGTGCGATAAGATCCACGACCACGCGTCTAATCAGCTAGATTAAACCGAACCGTGTAATGTGAATGCGATGATATGTACGGATTGTTACGTCATTAAAATTACAACACCAACATGAACAAACAAAGAAAAAAATTAAAGGAAACAAAACGTTCAACAACTATGGAAACGTGCGGTTAATGTTAAAGATAAAATGAAAATGAGTGATCAAAGTGCGTCATCGACAATATATTACTTAAGCTTTAAAAGAGGAGACGAATTAGAAGAAGAAGAAGAAGAAGAAGAAGAGGAATGAACAAATCAAATAGATTAAAATCAAACCAATAAATTATGATTTAAAGTCTTAGCGAATACTTGACCGATGCGTATGTCCTTGATTGAACTGCACGAAACGAATGTCACATGCTGTGTGACACAATCACCGGAATCTGAATTTCCTGCGATAAAAACAAATCACATAAACAAACACTTAGCATTAGAATGGGCAATGATATGGCACATTCATGAACCAAATAAAAAGAAAAGAGAAACAAACAAACAATCGATAAATACAAACAAAAAGAAGCAACCAACACTGAACAGTAATCATTAACAAGTTTTGTCTTATTTAGTTTAATTTGTAATGATTCATTTTGATTTTTTTTTCTTTTTGAAGAAATGCCGATCTCTATTTATGAGCACATTTAATTTTTTTTATTTTTTTTTTAGATGTATTTGTTATATTACATTGATTTTTTTTGTCTTGTGTAAATTTTTGTAAATAAACAAACAAGTGGTTAATTTTTTTTACACGGTTAAAATCGAATTAAAAAAAAAGAAAGAAGAAAACAAAACTAAACGAACAAAACATCTTGAGATAGAAGAGAAGAGAACAACTTATTCACTTATGCAAAATGAAAACAAAAAACCAATGGATTTATTGTAAACATAATGAGAAAAAAAAATACATTAATTGAAACATGAACCATTAGTCATTTACGATAAAAAATAAAATGGAAATACTTAGACATAAATTTTAAATTAAATTCACTGGTTTAGTTTAGAGGCAAACATTTAAATTTAATGGATAATTTCAAAAAAGGTGGTATAAAACCCTAAAACTTGAACGTTCTTTTGTTTCTCTTTGCTTATATATGATTAGATTATTATATTATATATTCACGCCGAACAAAATACCCATAAAAATGTTTTTGATCATCTCGATTTAATTATTAGACATTCGTTCGTCAGATGCGACTAAGAGATACAATTTATTTAGACAATTTAAAATGGAACCACAACCAAGATAGTGAAAGTCAGCTTCCACAACAGTAAGAACAAAGGAATAGTGAGAATAGAATGAAAAACAAGAACAAATATACTTAGATGTTGATATAATTTATATCGAACAAATCAAACGAATGCTACCTATAACAAACAAATATTTAGAAATAATATAATCCATTTTCTTCAAGTAAAATTATGATAAACAAAACAAAAAAACAAACAAACAGAATATTTAAAAAGATGCAAGCAAATCCCTATTCTGTATTCATTTTTTTCTTATCGGGGTCACCTAAGCAGCTTTTGGCTGCCAGCTACATTTAGAATTTTACATTTTTAGATGAAGCGAACATATCAAATCCTTCAGAAGTAAATCAGAATTAAAAACAAAAAAAAATACAAGAAAAAAAACATCTGTCCGATACGATTGAACAAAGAATTTATATGACATTTTTCTAATGCAAATCGTCTTTCATACATTTTTATTTACTATCATGAACCACATCATAATGACAAAGCAGCTACAAAGTGAAAATGCGATTTGAATTTGCGATTTTCCGTTTTCTTCACTTCATTCTAGTCAAGTTCTTGAATGAAAATGGCATTCGGTTTCCTAAACGTTTCAGACGAAAATCAATAAATCCAAACGCATTTTCACGCATTTGCCTATAGGAAAATATTCCAGAGCCATGCCCTGTCTACCAATTTGTTAAACTGTTCATAGATTAACCAGTTACCAACACTTAATTTAGTCCATGAGCAAACAAACAAAGAACCAAAACCAATTATAACACATTTTGGGCTTGATTCCTCTTCATTCAAAGGCGGAAAAAACAAATTCGAACATTTAATCACTATAGATATTTCATGTAATTTAAATGCAATACGTGATAGTTAAAACTTAATGCTCGACCATCACACACACAAATCATAAACACATACACACACTTGATGCACAACGTTTACTTTTCTCTTCAATTCAGATATTTTTGCTTAATGAGCATTGGATTAGGTTTCTCGTTATTTTCCAATATCATTGTTAAATAGTAAAATTTTACTTAAACACACATTTCACCGTTCAAACAGTGATAGTTTATAGCTTCGAATTATTTCATTAAACAAATCGACAGACTAGTGATTTTTTTCTGCGCAAAGAAAACGACAACAATTTTAGGACACAAAAAAAAAAGAGCTAAATAATTTAAAAATAGCCAATTCAAATGCACTTATTCCTTCAAGTTCCCATTCCTTTACACGATCACATTAATCGAAATTATAGTGGAATTAGCACGATAAACAATGTTCGACGCTACTTTCTAAATTCTTGTCCAATTCAAATTTAAATGGCTCATTAATTAACAAGTATTATGACACTTGATTTAAATTCGATAAAATTATTATCAATAAATCAAGCTAAATCTATCCGAACTCATTACAATATGAATAAAACTAAAATAAAAAATTTGATAATGAAAAAACAAAACATTTGCACTTTCTTTTTATTTCATTTCTTCCGGTCAGCTGAATTAGCTGTTGATCAGCTGAGATCTTTCACACAAACAAAATTTTAAGATAAGATTCAACGCTGGAGCACTTATCGACACCATTTGTAGTCAACCATAAGGTAAAAGCAACACCGAGTTGAAATGCTGTAAATGGTAATAGTAGAATTAAAAGTGAAAAAACTCGACGAAGCACTCTATAACGCAATTTTATTTTCGAACTGTAATCTATGCTCAGGTAATTTGAATAATATAGCTATTGATCGTTAGAAATTATTCCGTCGATCGTTAAAATCAAAAGCGTCCATGAAGAGATATGCGTATATTTACAATTTCGCATATTAAACTCATACTATATTTAAAGCTATTTTCGAACAGTTCAATGGAAATGATTATTTTAACATTCAATAATAGGAAATTCCTCAAAGGAATTGCTCCGTTGAACTGAACATTTTACAGTAAATTTAGAGTATTTCGCCCGATTCAAGGGAAACGTCAGTGTCTGAATAATTGTTTGTGACCTCATCTTTGTTGTCATTCATTATTGAGTCTTGATCAGCAGTGTTTGTATCAATTTGGCTTTGTGATTCTTCTACAATTTGTTCTTCAGCTTCCGAAATACATTCATGTTTTAGTTCAGTTTGATGGTCTATTCGGTGCATATGCTTTATGTTTTGTTTGATTTTCTTATTTTTGCTTGCCGAACAAGCGAAATTTAACGAATCCGAACTTTCTGCATCCGAATTCGACTCTGATTCCGATTCCGATTCCGATTCATCCGACGATTTGCCTTTTATATTCTTTCGAACTCGATACTGTTTGGGTAAATTTGAATCGTCATCTTTACGCAATAATCTTGGTAGGTCAGTTGAACGGTTATATTTCCTATCACCATCGAATGGTTTCCCTTTTTGTCGTTTCATGCTGTGTGCCATGACACGTTTTTGGTAGTCAAGCTGTGGGAATAGTTCCGATGAGTTTTCTAGTGCCTTTTTGGCTGCTTCCATTTCGGCTTGCTGTATCGAATGACCGGTAGAACTTGCCAAGCGTTTGCCTCTGAAATAAACCGCCACTTTGTAGACACGCGTATTCGTTGGTCCTGTACATTCGATCACCTTGTAAATTGGAATATCCGGTTCACCACCATCCATTGTACGAACTGTGGAGAAAAGAAATTGTTTGATTGCCATTGTCAAGATGGAATTGATAATTTCTTAAACTTACGAGTCAAACAACATTGCTGTAGCTTTGATTTTGGATCGTTCCAATCTTGGTTCATGATAAACAATTGCAAACGGGGGAATAGACACACTTGACAGAATAGTTCGGCGAGTGGAAGGCCCTTGTCAACGTACAATGCACCCAAGAATGCTTCCAACAAATCGGCTCTGTCTTTTGTTTTCAATTCACTCTTTGGATTTGAGTAAATTGCATACTTTGTCATACCCAAATCATCACAGACCACCGCCTGTGTTCGATTGTTGACCAGAGAACTTCGCAACAGTGACAAATGACCTTCGTGATGCTCCGGAAAATGTCGGTATAAATATTCGGAACAAATCAGTTGCAGAACAGTATCGCCAAGGAATTCAAGCCGCTGATTTGAGCCCAGTGTCAAATGCGTAAAGCCAATGCTACGATCGGTGAATGCACGTGCCAGCAAACGAATGTGACGGAATTTTAGGCCAATCGATTCTTCGAAATCGGTTAAATCTTTTAGCAGTGGATAGGATTCAATCCATTGTCGATCGCCGAGTGGCTCTTGCTCTTGCAACGGATGCGGTGGATAGTTTATCCAGACCTAAGTTCAAAGATTGATACATTTAATATGATAATGGGTTCAGTTTAACCAAGAAAAGGGAATGCATTCCGTACTTAGGTGGTTTTATCTTACCTCTTTAAGTCTCTCATTCTCAAGGAACAATGTGTTGGCAAACACTTTGTCAGCTACTTCAATGCCACCATCTAGCAGTAATGCGCCCATCAATGCTTCAAAGCAATTGGCCATTGCGTGTCGCAGTTCCAATTCGTGGCACAAATCAGATCCATGAGCATACAGCATAAATTCGTCCAATCGCAATTTCTGTCGGCAAACAAGAAAACGTTTTAGCATTTCCATTCGACTTGAGAAATCAATCTCCACATTTACCTTTGCCAATACGGCTAAGTGCTGATTTTGAACAATTGCCGCACGGTACGTGGCCAATCCACCCTCTTCCAGATCGGGAAACATGAAAAACAAATGGATCGACGTAAGAAATTCAACAACGGCATCGCCCAGAAACTCCAATCGTTCATTGTGTGTGATACTGCTGTCGGTTTCATTTTCTCTTCCAAACCGTGACATGATATTAATGAGTGTGTTTATGCCTCGTTTTCTCGTATTCAAATAATGAATCTTCCTATCACCATATTCTGGCTGTCTGATGCCACAGTTTGTTAAACTGTTTCGGGCATGATCGGGGTTTGTACCTTAAAAAAACAAGCGACAAAATTGCGTTATTTTACATTTTTCTACTGTTCACGAATAGCAACTTAATTGAAGCGCTTTCATACCAAAATTTTCTTTATATGATGGATGTGTGAGAGCCAACTGCAGTAGATATCGATTTTTGAATTGATAGTCAATGTTTTTCTCCAGTAAATTGAGTGATTGATGAAACCGAAGATGAGTGGTAAGTACGGGAATCAACAGCGCATGTTGTACAATATCACACATGATGCCAGTTCGATAAAATCCTTTGGAAACAATTTCAACCGTAACATTTCGTTTCATACGACCCTGTGTTCGCATCTCCTGTAAGCGACTTTCTTTGCTCTCCAATTTTCGTTTGTCCTCAAACGATGGCTTCGACATATTGGCCACCAGATGCCGAAACTTAACATATTCACGCCATGATTTCTGGTATTCCGGATTACCAGCGTAGCTGAGCTGTGGCGGTCTCACACCAAAATGCACAATCACCGGATGAACAATGGTCGCATCCTCTGGATCAACGCATTCCGTTAAATCGGTCACATTTCTATCCAACTGATCGATACGAACCGAACATGGTTTCATGCCGGGATTTGTTACAACCATCCCTTTTACATCGTCTACATAATCTTGCCAATCACGTTGTTGCAATGTTTGCATATTCTTCAATACCGAATCGGCAACCAAAGGACCCGAATTGTCCAATAAATGTCTCAGGACATCGCTAATCGAAAGAATCTCCTTGCCATTGTCAGGCAAATCACGCACGAATCGTGGAAAAAAATGAAAACACGAACACGTATTGTCGCCTTCCTTTGGTTTTAGCGAAAAGTCCAACATCTCCAGTACTTCCGTGAATAGATATTCGGCTGGAAATGACCAAATTTTCTCGTGAATATTTTCCATTGTTAAAAAAAAATGGAAATAGAAAGATGAATTAGGAAATAATTAAATGGCCAACTTACAAAATAAATCCAATTCTCGAATGGTGAAATTTTCGGGCATTTTTTCTTCAAAGTACATGATTTTGTATTCGATATTGAAACGAATGACCTATTCCAATGAAGATGGATAAACATTAAAATCATAACCATGCATTTTGTTCAAAGTGTAAAATACAAAGCATACCGAACACGTTGGAAGCTCGCCGATTGGAGTGTGCGACAAAAGAGAGAATCCTTCGAAGAGAAACTCGTGTTCGTCGTGCTTTATCATGGTTGGCGTTTTGGTAAGGAAATTAGTCGGCGGCGATACACTTATTTTGTAATGATATAATTTTCCGGCATTATTTGAATTCGGAGAACATGTTGGTATTCCCTCTTCGCCCGGGTAAATGCCATGCCGAATGCCAGTTCGTCGTGATTTTGCTGAACATCGACACAGCGGCCCATCGTTCATTTCCCCAGTTTCGTTATGCCATAAATCCGCATGCAATCGATACGGATGTTTTATCTTCTTCGTTAGCTCTTCCATTGGGCAATCATCTTCGATATTGAAATCATCATCCGATGATTCAGACGATGAACATTTATCACCTTCAATAATGGAAACGATTATACAACAATTTACTGTTATGAACAACTCGAGATAAATTCAACGATTACTATCACTAATCTTTCTTACTTTTGTGTCGGCAAACACGATGTTTCCGCTTCTTTGGTTTCTCCTCGGTCACGGGTTTCAATTGGCGTGCACGAGTGCCACGTTCAACAAGTTCCGTTTTGAAGAGAGTACACAATGCTTCCAGGCGAGCGGTACCTTCGATTTCATTGACCGAGGTTCGTTTGTAGAATAAATCCGCTGGAGATGATCGAATCCAACATTCTTTCTCACTATCTTCAGCCAATTCTTCGAGTTTCCTCGTGATATCTTCGGATGTTTCACAGAAATTGCTGCGCCACTTTTCCAAAATACGTGCTCGCTCGGTTAATTCTTTGTCATCGATTGGTACCGTTTTCTCGACTGATTGTCGAGGTTCATTGTCCTTTGAGCGCTGAACTGTTGGCGATGGTTCTCGTTTAATTGACGATTCTCGTTTGATTGACGAACTCCGAGATGTACTAGGTGGCCTTGTACTGGATGATCTATCACTCTTACTATAATTACTTCGATTATCAATTTTAGCCATCGATACTGATCTTGAATTACTTCTACTTCGATTCGAATATTTATCATATTTACGACCAAGACCATCGCTGTCTTGTCTATCCCTGCTGTCTCTTTGACGATTTTGATCTCTATCATCGCGGTCTCTTCCATTTTTTGGTGTATATTTATTGGTTCTGCCTCTGTCTCGGTCCCTCCTATCCCAATCCCTATCTATTTCTCTTCCTCCATCTCTATCGTACGGTCGTTTTGTTGAATGATGCGCATTGGCATTGGTTCTCTGACTGGATTGCTTCGAATCATGCCATTTTGATGTGTCTTCAACACCTCTTCGGCCATCATTACGTGAGCTAGATGATGGATTTGCTCTGAAGTTGGGATGAGTTTGGTGTGGTTGCTGTTGATGTTGTTGCTGCTGCTGCTGCTGCTGTTGACGCATGAGAGGTAACGGCGGCCGTGGAGGTTGTGTCGCAAGTAGCTATTTAAATTGAATAAATAAATCCATTGCATAAAAATGGTCAAACATTGGAATTAAGTGACGATTTATTCCATTCGAATGATGGTTCAACTTACGTTCACTTGTGTACTGAAATTGGGCGGTGGAATGCTGAAATCCATCGGTGGGAAAAACATGTTTGGAGGACGAACGGAAGGATTTGGGTATGGGACTCGTGCCGGTGCTCTACCATATGATTGCGTTTGAAATGGATCAAATTTTCCTTGGTAGCTGTTATTCGGCATTGGCGCCGCATTTTTCGATCTAGAAGCGGGCACATTGTCATATGGACTCGAATCAAATCGCTGTGGATAACTCATTATTCACAAAACTAGTGAAGATTCATTAACAATTGCACCAAAACATATTCCGATTAGTTTATCAATCTCATATCTGTAAACTAAACCGTGCTTGCGACTGACAGTTGAATGTGACAGCGTTCAGCAATGTTTTGACATCGAGATTCGACGAACGCACTCTTGCCAAATGAATAATGCACTATCTGTTGAAAATCTGCATTGCAGATTACTGTACAAGCAATTACCATTTTTCAATTACCAAAAAAAGGGCAAATACAAATGAAATACAAACCATGCATGGTTTAAAAAAAAGTTTTATTCATGGTGGTGTCTAATCTAGAATTTGTTAGTCTAAAACAAATGCGCTACCGAAACCGAAGTACAAATGATGAGGTAAATAAAATTGATCTAGTAACTGGATAGAACGGAACATGGTCTGGTTGATTTTCTTCTTCTTTTTTTTATTGATGGCCATTTAAGCCACCTTTGTCACCATTGTCTTGATTGGTTTGGTCACCATTGGAACTACATTCGCCAGCGTCATCGTAGTTCTGAAAATGCATAAATGCCTGCCAAACACACTTCGGTGGCGTATTGTATAATGGATGTGTTGGCAATAGTTCGTTATTCAGTATATCGCCTATAACAAATGGATCGGCATCAACTTCTGAATGCTGTGCAACTGAAACACCGCTCAGTGTATAGCATGTGTGATAGAGATCGGGCGGTCTACGGAAAACGAACATTGTAATGAATAATCGATTTATTTCCGTGAAAATAAGACAGTTCAAGGAAAGCAGAGCGTTTTGGTTCACTTACGTGTCAGGCTTATCGATTAAACCGCCTGATGGACGTTGACAACAAATAAATATGTACTCCTGCAATGCTCTCACATCGAATACGGGTTTCGTGAGTATTCGACTCAAATACGGTTCTACAAATAAAAAATGAAAAATAGAGCATTGACATTTCATGCGAGTCAATAGTGAAATGATGGTGCATACCTTTTTTACTGATAATAGCTTGAACGATAGGTACGATTGCTCCACACCAAAACGAATAACATCCATCAACCAGTTTGTTTGTCCTTCCTTGGAAGCCACCTTCGAATTTCATTTGCTTATTCACCGTCCATCTCTGAATGACAATTAAAAAACAAGTTTATTACATTTCCAAAGCTGACTCAGGCTTGACTGAACAGAGGAGAAAATGTTTTAGATGAAAATTTGATTTGACTTACAAGTAAAGCATCTAAATTACATTTGCCCGTTGATCCAAGCAACGCAAGTGCAGCGATACCACAAAATGTGTAGCCACCGTGCGCTTCTTTATCGGGAACACCTCCCATTCCACCCTCATACGTTTGACACGATGCAATCCAATCGACGGTTCCGTTGAACAGTTTCGCCTCCTCTTCAGCCGATATGTTTACTAATTTTGCTACAGAAACGGCACAGTATGCGCCACGTACATCAATTTCACCGTCTGTATCCATGCGAAAGGCACCAATTTTATCATCACGAACACGATACAAAAAATTTAACAGCGTCGGTTTATCGATGGCATCATATGCCTCTGGTGTTCCAATTATGCACAGAGCATTAACCGATCCGTATGTTGTGGCTAAATGTGGCACCTGACCCGGCCCACCGCCAAATCCACCAGTTTTTGAACGACATTTGACTAAAAATTTTACAACGCGCGATAACAAATCGTCTGGAAAACGGGAATTTAACAAGTGTGCAGCATTTAAAATCCAATAAATCAACCATGGTCGACTACTGTCCAAGCATTCATAATTTGTTGACAGCGATCGCAACATATTCTCCAAGAATTTGATGTGCTGCAAACGATGTATGGTTGGTAGTGCCTTCCTATTATCCAAATAACGTAGCTGCTCAAAACGATCGTAGCATTTTTCGACACGACGTTCTGTATCGACCTGAATAAAAATGAGAGAAAACAGGAATACCAAACAATTAAGAAACCATTTCCAATGGTGGGTGTGGACAATTCCGAACAACCTGATCCATTGACGTGGCCGTTCTATACTTTTCATCGTCAAACTTTAACTTTTTCAATTGTTGCAAATTCCTCAGCTGATCGGGACCATCCATATTGCTATCTTTTTAAAACTATTCTCGTCTTGGACCGAACTTGTGTGCGGTATACATACAACGTATCAGTGTTATTCGTTCGGGAATAAATCGAAATAACAATGTCATGAAATTAAATAAAACAACGTTTTAAGTCGCGTTGTACAAAATATCAACGCAATTGCGGCGAATCACATTGGAATATGTGTAAAAAAAAATTATAAATTTTTGCAAATTGTTTTCAATTCAAGCGTAAACCAAATGTCTGAATATTTTGAGAAAAGTATGAAATAAAAAACACAATTGTCAAAACCTACACACTACATTTGGCAGAAACTCGTTTCACAACAAACTGTCAGATGTTTGACACTTTCTGCGCGCTAAAACTTTGACATCCGCACCATTCAAACAAGTGTACAATAACTCAGTGAATCATACGGTTTTTGTTTGTTGAAAGCGAATGTTGTTTGTTGAATAGTTTGTAATGTTTTAGTTTCGTGACCAGAAACAAATATTAGCCGGTAAAATGTCATCGATGTCGGCGTTGTTGATGCAAATCAAGCAAATAGTGTTGATTGATTTGAAAAGTGATAAAGCAACTGTGCGTACAAAATGCTTGGATGAATTTCACAATATTTTCGATAGTCGTTCAAAAGACTTGTGTGCCATATTAAGAGCGAATAACAACAATCGTTCGGATGATGATGATCATGAAACATTCACATGGTCTGAATTATTTTCCGGTCTTCATGAAGCACTCAAGGATCAATGTATGCGGATCGACGCGACTCAAAATAAAAAGAGCCTAATTGCCAAGAACAACGCATACAAAGAAGCATTGCGAAAATGCATTAATGCGGCCAACGAACACGTTCCAAATGTGTCGTACGCAAGAATCTGTAATGCGGCTTTCGAGTGCTTTGATATACCGTCCATTTCCATTTACTTCGACGAATTGTACTTGCAAATCGTCTGGAAACACATTTTGAGTGCAAAACACAGCCTCAGCGAAATCAGAGTTGCAGATTGGAGCAGTAAGTCGGAATATTCATAGTTTAGCTTGGTGAAAGAAGGAAAAATCATAGGGACATTATTTATGAAAGATGTTTTATATTGACTCCACATTTTATTGCGCATTAAGCATTGTCAGTGGAAGCTGCCTAGGTCAATCTCAGGAACAACAGTTCATTTACAATGAAATCATGCAAATTTTACAACAAAACGATTTTTTTCCTCATACATTGATTCCTGATTTATTTCAATTGTTCCATTTAAAGGTTTACTTTCACACATTTTCAAACTGTACGATCAACGGAACAGCCAAATTAAGAAGATTGAAATTTTGCAATGTATTCCGTTGATACTGCGAAAAGGTGCAAAGTATCGATATTTGGTCAGCGAGATGCATCAGTATCTTCCCAATGTCATTCGAATCGTGAACGATGGACAACTGCAAAATCAGCCCAATTCACAGAAACAAATTCTACAGATCGTTTATGAACTAATTCGAAACCTGGCAGTCAATCAGCGATTGTCTGTCATCGGGTTCACAGAATCAGTTTTGGAGAAGCTGTTAAAATTCTATCAATTCTCAATGGATCCCGATTTCAAGGTCAATTTGTTGAAGATAATGCACATTTCGATTGTGGTCCATTCGCCCGAGCCAAACAGCTTCGAGAGCTCATTGAATGAAATGTCTGATCAAAGCGATGATTTATTCAAAAGCAACGTAGCTGAGGATGCACAACTGTGGCACAAGCATTTGCGGAACATGCTGAGCATTGTTGAACGTGAGATAACGGAATCACGTAAGCGATCCCATCGCTTGAATCCGATACCAAAAATTTGCCCGATTTTTGTTGAAATGTCAGCTAAACTTTGTTCGGTGGTTAGTATTTTGATGGAAATTTTCTTGAGCTTAGAAGATTTTTTTTTTATTTTAATCGAAATTGATACTTTAGGTTTATTGGAAAGAGGATGTTTGGAACAGTAGCAACGACGAGCAACAACAGAAAAGACGTCGTCATTCGATGAGATTGGAGAGAATTTTCGAACTGATCGAATATGAACCGTCGAAATTTTGCTGGAGATGGTAAATAGTACAGCTAATTTTCATATCATTCTAAAATCCATTCATAAATTAATTTAGTTTCAATTATTTTCTTACATTGAATCAATTGTGAACCTATTTCTTTCTGCTTCTTTAAATGTCTAGGTTCGCTATTTTATCGCAGCTATTGGTCGACTTTCCGCATTTACTGCAAGCAGAAGATTATCAGTCGCTGTTGAAGTTATTGGTGGATTTCAAGCCGACAATTCAACATGCATTGCACATGAGCCACTTCATTCACATTGTCGATGTCATGCTCGGCAAAGAGCAAGAGCTAAAATCGACCTCCGAATACGTCCGAGAGTCATTTTGCACGGAGCATTGGCACAAAATAATGGATCTATCATTCAAACAAGCGGCCACCGATAAAATTCAATTGGAAAATTTGGATTTGATGCGCATTTTAGTCGAAAACAAAGTGATTGTCTCGCACGACTTCATCAAAGAAGTGATCAGCGAAGTGACAAAGATGTCACACATCAAAAAGTCACATCAATCTGTCAATCTATTGATCAGTATTTTTCGCAATGTGAACATTGACATGATCGAGAGTGGCTCAACGTTGAAGATCACTGTGATCAAGTGGCTGAGCGCAAAAGTTAAACTGTCCGAATTGAAGAAGGTTATCGAAAGCAATGGCACAATTGATAAACAATTGATCTCAGAATTGTATGTGTTGTGTGTTTTGTCACGACAAGAAAATACAAACAAAAGAAGCTACAAAATGGAGAAGGCCAATGTCCCAGAGGATGCGGATGTGCTAGAGGATGTGGAAGTATCAGAGGATGCAGATGTGCTAGAGCATAAGATGTTCATTGCTGACATGGTTCAAAATCTTCAATATCGAATGTTGTCCAAATTGATTGTTAGCGATAATTTACAATGCACCAAAAAGGATGAGCCGCATTCAATCGAAGTTTTACCCGAGAAGAAGAATGACGTCAAAGCATTCATAAACGAAACGATTTTTGGTGAATTGGAAAATGCGATTCATGATGAGAGCTCAAACGATAATGTCAACAGTACTAATGAGACATCGCTGGAAAATTTTCATTCTGTTTCGACGTCATTTGTAACGTACGTGAATATATTGAATGCACTGGTTGGCTATGAGTCGATCGACAGCGAAAATTTCTACAAATATTTGTCGAAACGAGTATTCCTGAAGGTCGGACAGCTCAATTCAATCGTCAGCAATTTCAGCAGCTCATTCAATATTGACCGAAATCCGAATGATGTTAACGAAGTTGTCGAAGGATTGCTGAGCATTTGGCATGATAAATATCATGCGATCATCGCCGAAAACATGTTCATTGTTGCCAACAATGTATCAATCATTCAGTGGCTAACGGAACAACTGAAACCAAGCCGACGAGAAGAGTCGTTGGTTTTGACACCACTTCGAACAATCGGTCAACTTGGCTTTGAAGAACGAATTCACCTCAAATGTTTGACGCTTTTGGCCCAGTTTTCCGCCTATGACAACGAAAATGACGACGAAAGCGAAACACATGTGTTTGAAGCGATCTCAGAGTACGAATTCAACTACAAACGTAATGAAGATTTGTTCATATTGTTTCAATTGATCAAGGTAAGACATTTTTTAGGATAGCAGTTAGGTATTTCTAAGCTAGGCTTGAATTTTAAGCTCAACCCAATGATATTCCGTAGATCAATTTTAACGAAAAGCTTATTTTGTAGATCATTCTTAACCAAAGACACCCGTCTGAAACATTGACCGAATGGGCATTCTCGGAAATGAAAGAAATTTGTATGCGTCTCACATCGCATCATGGTTACATGGAAATGGTTGTGGAAAATATTCCAGCTTTGATCAAATGTGTCAAGCCATACACTGATTTGCACGACGATTTGATAAATTTACTGTCATCATTTCTGAAGCAAATCAAATCGAAGAAATACGGTCCACATATTAGCATAAAAATCATCAAAAGTGCCCATTATTTTGCTCAGGTAAGAGAAAAAGAATCGCTACGTTATGAGATGTTTGTCTTGAATTTATGTTTTGTTGCAACAGGAATTTTTCTACATTGAAGATGGCTTCGATATCATTGTATTTCTGCATCGTTTTCTACAATCTAAGTATTTAACCATTCAATTTGCCACAGTCGCCTGTTTGACCGATATTTTCAATAAAAATTGGTTGATTTATCAAGAAGACGAAGTGAACTGCTTGGCAATACAAGAGTTTCATACGAAATTGGTGGAAAAACTAAATATTGATGAGTTGTCCGTTGAAGATGTAAATGATATCGATCGAAAGACATGCATTGTTTCAACTCGACTGCAGCTTTACTGTTCAATCATTGGAGCGTGTTACCCATTGAGACGGCGAACGTGGTTTTATCTCATTGCATTTTGTGGGCAACATCTCAAAATGAATGAAGGTATTTAGTTTGAGAAGCGTTGAAATTTAACAGGAACGCAGCATTTTCAACATTATGGCAATTTTTATTTTATAGGAAAAACGGTTGATATTGTGGCAAAACTGTGCAATGATGTGTTTCACACAACACCATCAGTCTTATTATCCGATTTGTTTCCACATCTCGTTTCCTTGTGGATTGACAACGACTACCATTTGACCAGATTTCCAGCGAAGCTAACGCTAAGCGAAACGCACAATGATTTCATCGTCGAATACATAGATACGATCACATTGCGAATTCTGTTGTACAAATCCGAGTTCATCCCAGAACTGTTAAAAATGACCGAATCCACTTCGCTTTCAGAACTTTTGTCGTTGGTACGTTTGAATTTTCTTCTAAAATGCGTTCAATGCACATTAATCAACATTAACCTTTCGCTTTACAGCCAGTTTTGATCAAATGTTTGGCCCACTTAACGTCCGTACAAGTATCGCAATCAGCGTCTAGAGAGAACAAAGCAAAGGCTGTGAATATGCTGAAGATTCTAAGAAAGGAAAAACCACGCATTGAAGACTACTTTGATTCTCATGCACTTGAAATAATCGAGGAACTACTGAACAATATGTGGGATGTGGATAAATTCCGCGAGTATTTCGATACCGAAGTCGAATACGTCACCGATGAACAGTCCATCGATCACAAAGTATTCCTGAAGTCGCTGGAGTACATTCAGGTAATTCATTGCAAATTGAAATAAAATTTATAGGCACACCTGTTTGAGGCTGTAAATTCTCATGGATTTCCCATTACGTTTCCAGCAAAAGGCTATGAATCACTCGAACATCGTTCATCACTACTGTGAAATGTCACCAAGAAAAGTCGTGAATATGTTGTATTCGTTGAAATTGCTTTGGCAAAAGTCCGTGTGTGATGAGCTTAAACATTCACAAATGTTGAGAATCTGTGTGTTCATCGATATAATTGTGGATTTTCTGATTGAAAATGCCACAAAGCCGAATCAATCAAGTATTATTGGATTTTTTGTTCGAGATTTTGTGTATTTCATTGGCAATACAATCAGCAGCGACTGCAGTGATAAACTTAAATTGGCCACATGCAAATATTTCTACAAATTTTGTGATAAACTTTTGCCCGCTTGCGCAGAATACCTTCAGAATCATCTAAATTACATTGTGTCGATTTTAATGCCAATCACCAAAAGTAAATCACCACCGAAGATTTGCGAAGCTGGTATGCATCTGCTACGATTCTTGATTGTCGAACAAAGAGATGTGCTAAAGACAGCGATTGGTCAGTTGGACAGTTTCCCGAAGCTAGAAGAGTTCAACGAACTGAGCCAAATTCAAAGCGATGTGAAATACAATGGAAAGACATTTACACTACTCGATGAAATCGAATACTTTTTGTCCGTGGACAAAAGAAAGATCGAAGGACTATTGTCGCTCAAGGAACATGTAAGTGCTGATTGCTGACACTCTGTGAGTTTGAATTTCAACCGAATGTTTATTTTTGCAGCTTTCGAATAAGAAAAATGAGCTTGAGGATATTTACAAAATGTTATACGATACGCGTGGTTTCTCGGAAGATTGTGAGCGAAGCCCCATTCATCGATTGATCTCGGCATTGCTCACGCAAATCGTTCAGAACGTAGATAGTGAAAAGAGTGTGATAGCAGCAAAATGTTTAGGTGAACTTGGGCCCAGTGATCTTGGATCCATAGCACTGAAATTCGATACACAGTTGCAGACGTACAAAATTGTAAGTGACTTGGGTTAGGAAGGATTTTCTCAGAAGAGTGTACAATAACCAACAATACCCAAACTAATTTGAATGGATTTTCTTTCATTTGTTCAATTGCCTTCAGTGCAAAACATTCGAAGATGCCGTTTCAAATCTGTGCGAGCACGCATTGGAGAAACTGAATGGAATTTTCATTCATAGCGATGCAACGGTGCTACAAACGGCAGCCGAAGCATGCAAACATTTACTACAATCACAAAAAGCGGTGTCGTTCTTAGGTAATTTTTTGGTTTTTCATCAAATTCAGTTGTAGGAAATTGAAAAATTTATTCTTCTTCTTTTTACTAGACAAATACCCATTGCTGAAAGTGTTTGAAACGGGTGCTGTGACAGAGTTACCGCTTCATCAGAGCGATCAGCAGCAGCTAGATTTCGAAAAACTCTTCAGCGATAACGCTTTCCGTAAAGCACACTCATTTTGGGTGAAAAGTTTGGCCATTGAACTGTTCACGCTATTCAGTGGCGACCCATTAGCTCAAGTAGCTGCGAAACAAACGCAATTTTCCACGGTGATGATTCCTTTGTTGATCAAAGCACTCTTGACCACCAAAAATGCTGGCCATAAACAAACTCTGAACACGGCAATAAATCGGTTCTTTGCAAAAACATTCGAGCGATTGACTGCAACTGGAGAAGTGGTAATAAACACTCAACTTAGATCTTTCTAAAGAGGAAACATGTTTCAATTCTTAAATTAATATTTTTCACTAAGATTGTTGCCAACGAGACCCAATCATCGACACCCGTATACCTGAACAAGGTGTCAATAAAACTGATGTTGAATGTCGCTGAATGTATTCGAGTGCACAATCAAACCATCTTCAGTTCGACACCAGGCGCACAATTGAAACTAAACTATTTGCACATTGCAAAAGCCGCATTGTTCTGCGAAGCATATTTTACGGCAATTTTGTATGGAGAATTGGCTTCGTATGAAAAGCACGAAGGAACCAAACAGGCAGAGATTCAATCGATCATGAAGAATTCATATCAATCGATCGGTGAAACAGATGCTGTATCGGCTTTCCTTGATCCAATCACCCAAAAAATGGAATATTTGGAATTGAATGGATGCTGGAACGAAATACTGATTGGAATTGATGCACAAACAAATGATTTTACGCAAAATTCGAGATATTTGATGGGGGCTGGTCTGTATAGTCTCTCAAACAAACTCGCTCAAGGCAACGACACACCAAATTACGAATGTGCATGGCGTTTGGCTGATTGGGGAATCGTTGAAGGCAGCTCAGAAAACGCAAATCAGAAAGAAGTCATTGATGCAAACGGGTTTGATAAGTATCATTACTTTGCTTTGAAAAGCCTACAGCAAAAAGACCAAATCGGAGCTAATCTAAATGTGAAACGAGCATTCGAAGCAGTCATTAAGATGTTCAAGCAATCAAGCTATGAATGCACGAAGAACATTTACAAGAACCTCATGATGTTGCACTTGTTGCTGCAAATCGAAGAATTTGGCTATGTAAGACACCGTTTTCTTGTGTGACATATTTTTTTCTTTTAAAATAATTTCAAAGCCGAGAATTTAGCACTTTTTAAGTTATTTTCATCTAACTGTTCATTCGAAATGTTTTCAGGTACAATTTCCAGGCACCGATGATCCGAATCATGGTCCAGAATTTGTAATCAACAAGTGGAAGAATCAAGATCGAATAGCATCATGCGGATTTAAATACCGCGAACCAATTTTGGCGCAACGTGTCACATTACTCGAATCGGCTGGCGTACGTGCCAAGCGAAAGTTCGAGAGCGTGTGCAAATTTGGTGATGGTATTCAGCAGATGATATTGAATCTAGTGGCTGAATGCCGAGAAGAAGATTTTCTGAATTTAGGCGAACGATATTCAGCCGCTCTGCACAAAAAGGCTCTAAATCGTGAAATGAAGGCCAGAGCTTTCATCGAAGATGCCCAACTAAACTGGAAACGTGGTGAATCAGAAATGGCGCAACTGTTAATAGCAAATGTGATTAAACAAGAGTTTCCCTCATTAACGCGTGCCAAGGCATTTGGAATAATGGGGGAGTACTTGGCAGAGGCACGTCTGGAGGATACGAAAACCATCATAAAATCATACTTCAAGGAATCGAGCCGATTTTCGGAAGGATGTCGTAAAGTCAGCGATCAAATTAAACCTGACAGCCCATACTATGTACCACCCGAAGAACGCGAACGATTGCACTTGGAAAACATGAAGCGTAATCATTCAGCGATCGCCAAATGTAAGATCTCCATGATATTGAGTGGGGAGGGTGACAGAAGAAAATAACTAATTTTATTACATTTTTAGATGCCGATAGAGAATATCAACAGATTGCCGCCTATAAAAATTCGGCAGAATTCGAAAAGAAAGTCACAAATATCAAGCGAAATCAAGAAATCCTTGCTGAAATGACGAAAGCCAAGAGCCTTACGAAAGATGAACACAGATCAGTACAACAAGTGCAGAAATTTGTCTCCCTCGATGAATCGGACGTAGAGTCAACGAATGCCGATTATAAACACTATCTGCACACGGCAGTTTTACATTACATCGACAGTTTGATGCTTGAAAGTAACACTGAAATGAACAGCTCGGCCATGTTTCGTTTGTTCAGTCTATGGTCGTCGAATTCTTCGGACGCGGACATTTTGAAAGACATCGAAGAAAATCACAAACGAATCCCAACATACAAATTCATTCCGCTGATGACGCAGATAACCACACACTTGAGCACCGATGGAATGAAGAAGACGATTGAAGACATAATCCGTGAGTTTTGTTAGAAGTGATGGATTAATCTCATCCACTGCATGCGATACATTTTCAAATCATTTTTTCTTAATTTCATATAGTGCGATGTGCATTGGAGCACCCACACCACGTGCTACCCAAAGTGCTGGCACTGGTCAATGCATTCAAGGATGACGAGTTTATCCACGATGCGAAGAACAGATCATCGATATCGAGTTCACCCCGAATCGATGCCGCCTTTAAGCTGCTGCAAGTGATGAAAGGTCGTCGAGAGCTGCGAGACATCATCTTTCAAATGGAACTAATGTTCGAAAGTAAGATAATGTCAACTCAGTTCCAAGTTTTCAAGCTAATAATACATTTTATTTCTTCCGTTAGATCTCATCCGATTGGCAAACACAGATCTGAAAGACAAGAAAGAATTCCCATCGAATGATCCGATACGAAAGATTCGAGATTTGAATTTGGTTCACTGTCCAACGGTAAATTTGCCGGTCAGTATTTCGGGTGATTACACCAAGACTCGAGTTGGTATTCACAGATGGAAGACGACATTCACTCAACCGGGCGGCATCAATGCGCCAAAACGAATTGAGTGCATCGGATCGAATGGTATCCAGTATTCACAATTGCTAAAAGGGACAGACGATTTGCGTCAAGATGCTGTTATGCAACAGGTGTTCACCATAATGAACGATATGCTGAGTCAGTCGAGAGTTACGAAGAAGGATCGATTGCACGTGCGTACCTACATCATTGTACCATTATCACAGCGCAGTGGCATTTTGGAATGGTGTGAAAACACAATGCCATTGACTGACTACCTCGTTGGATCATCGTCTCGAAAAGGTGCACACGAACGCTTCCGACCACAAGATTGGTCGCCAAAAGTGTGTCGCAAACAAATGAGCCAAATAACGCTGCGCAACTCAAAGCTCGATAAAATCCATGAAAATTACAAAACAATTTGTGACAACATCAAGCCAGTGTTTCATCATTTCTTCTTGGAACACTTCAATAATCCTGGCGTTTGGTTTGAACGGAGAATGGCTTACGCACACAGTCTTGCGACAACATCGATGATCGGATACATTCTTGGCATTGGCGATCGTCATGTTAGCAATATATTGATCGATAAAACAACCGCGGAATTGATTCATATCGATTTTGGTATTGCATTCGAACAAGGAAAATGTTTACCGACACCAGAATTGATTCCATTCCGGTTGACACGAGACTTGGTCGACGCACTTGGTCCATCCGGTGTCGAAGGTGTTTATCGAAAATCATGCGAGAAAACAATGGAAGTTCTGCGCAAAGTAAGTTCTTCTATTTGATTCAAAGAGATTGAATCAGTTTCTAACCGTGTTTTCTTTATTGTTTTCTCTACATTTCCTTTTTTTTCTCTACGATTTCTTTTCTTCAAGAACAAATCAACCATACTAACGATTGTTGAAGTTTTGCTACATGATCCGCTGTACGCATGGGCTTTGACAAGTAATCAAGCATCGAAACGACAGCAGACCGACATTCAGATCAACGAAGAAGGTAATCTACGGTGAAATTGAAGTTAAAAAGTGAACCGACCTAACTCTTGGAAATTCTCTTTTTCTTTCACTCTCATTAGATCAAGATATAAACACGATGGCCGAACGTGCTCTATGGCGCTTAGAAGAGAAACTCGATGGAAAACACGTTAGCCGAAGTGAAGGAATTTCGGTGAAGCGACACGTTGAAATTCTGTTCAAAGAAGCTATGAACGACAAACTGTTATGCAGATTATTCGTAGGATGGCAACCATACCTTTGAATTGATGCTTGTGTCGTCATTAGATCAATAAATAAAAGAAATTGCATCATTATATGACCATTTATTATAAAATAAAATTTACAATTTTCATTATTAAAAAAATGTTGGCATTAAATACCACCGGTAACTTCGATTGAAGCACCATTTACATATGAACTTTTATCTGAGGCTAAAAATGCAATGACTTCAGCAACTTCTTCTGGATTTCCAAAACGTCTCAATGGACACTGCATTGTCATGTAATCCTTGACCTTTTCTGGTACCGATTCAGTCATTGGAGTATTGATAAAGCCGGGTAGGACGCAATTCACTCGAATGCCAAATTTGCCAAATTCCCTGGAAGCGGTTTTGGTCATTGCTTCAACGCCCGCTTTGCTCGATGTATAATTCGCTTGACCTATGTTTCCAATTTTACTGGCAATGCTGCCCAGATTGATGATGGTGCCATTTACAATATTTTTCTCAACCATAGCATTGGCACAGTTTTGCATCATCAAAAATGTACCCTGAATCGAAAAGAACATTTTTACGATCAATTTCAATTTTTATGATCACTTAGAAGTGAAATGAAGCAAAAAAATGGTTCTCACCTTTAAATTGACTCGAATCACATCGTCAAATTGGTCTTCTTCCAGTTTTAAAATGAAATTATCTTTGATGATGCCGGCCGCATTAACAACGATCGATGGCGGTGCATTGAATTTCGAGACAATGCTTTGAATACCGTTTTGTATGCTTTGTTTCGATGACACGTCGAGTTCAATAAACTGATTGTCTCCATTCAACGAATTGGCCACCTGTCTAGCTGCTTCAACATTACGATCAGCCACAATAATGGTAGCTCCTTCTCGATTCAGTAAACGACAAGCAGCTCTACCAATTCCACTTCCAGCTCCTGTAAACAAAATCAATTCAATACTTTCTCTTTTTATTGTTAACCGAAAATATCACAATCATTCAAAAAGCAATCGAACCGGTAATCAATGCAATTTTGCCACTCAATGGAAGACTCATTTTATTTTTTCGTTGAAATCCCTAATAATTTCTAAGTTAATCTAAAAAATGGTTATTATATGATAAAAATAAACAAAGTCATTCAATATAACACGAAATTTAATCTTAAAACCAGTCAAGAGATAACAGCCCGCAAATGGCTGCATACTTGACACTTCAGTCAAAACAAATGCTGAACGCAGCCCAAAAACAAGCGTATGCTTACAGTGGTCGCTGACAATTGTCAAACAGTTTTGAGTTTCATTCTCATAGAAAACTCAAAAAAAAATAGCAATTTGCAGTTTATTTTGTAAACAATGGCTGATCCACTTAGTTTATTACGGCAATATAATATAAAAAAGCGTGAAATTATCGAACGCGAAGGACAAATTATATTTGGTGAATTTTCGTGGCCGAAAAATGTGAAAACCAACTATCTAAAATACGGGTATGTATTTTGTTGTACTGCAACGCAATCGAAATAACAAATATCAAACTATATAACAAATGTTAGGTTATGGTTCAGCAAAAATACAATTTTTACGTGGATTTCTTTTTCCTTTTTGGATTTTTTCAACATAAATTTCGGTTCATGGGCAATGGTTTTTCATAAATTGAATGCATTTTTTTCTCTAGTTCGGGCAAAAAAGGAGCACCACCAGAATATTATACATTGGAATGCTTGTTGTACTTGTTGAAAAATGTATTGCTTCAGCATTCGGTGTATGTGCGTCAGTGCGCTGTAAGTATTGTTCATTTTGGCACTTTCTCTTCTACTAAAATTGCGATACGCAATGCTTACGGAAATTTATGTCCCTATGAAAATGTGTGTCATTTTTAGGCCGAAGATATTCCAGCGGTAAATCGTCCCGATCGTAAAGAGCTATTGGCTTATCTGAATGGTGATACAGCGACGTGTGCTAGCATTGACAAAAGTGCACCGTTGGAAATTCCAACACAAGTGAAGCGTCCACTTGAAGGCGATGGTTTGGAAAATATTGCCAAAAAAGCGCGCTATGAAGATACACAAGTGCAAAAAGTGCGTGAACAGTTGGCGGCACGTTTGGAACAAACCACAAAAGAGGTGGCTGTCAATCTTGACAACATCAAATCGCTGTCAGAGGCGATGTCAGTGGAAAAAATTGCGGCCATCAAAGCCAAACGTTTAGCTAACAAACGTACCACAATCAAGCGAAACGATAATGACGATGCGATGGGCACCGATCTTCGTGCCATTCTTGATTTTGATGTCGATTCCACAAAAGATATCATCAGTCGAGAGCGTCAATGGCGTACACGAACCACAATTTTACAAAGTACCGGGAAAATGTTTGCAAAGAACATTTTCGCCATTTTGCAAGGCATCAAAAATCGCGAAGAAGGACGATCGCGACCGATGCAGCCACAGAATCGTTTACCTGAACCGGCACGTATCATTCGGCCAACACCACAGCCTGCACAGTACAATCGGTACGATCAGGAACGTTTCAATCGGCAAAAAGAGGAGACGGAAGGTTTCAAAATCGATACTATGGGCACATATCATGGTATGTCGCTGAAATCGGTGACAGATGGTTCGGCGATGCAGAAAAAACAACAGATCGCAATGATGCCACCCGGTCGACCGAAAGACATCAATCCGGTGCACCAAGGAATGAATGCACCACAGCAAGGCAACAAACGACCGTCACGTACACCAATCATTATTATACCCGCTACAAATACTAGTTTAATCAGCATGTACAATGCAAAAGATATTCTGCAAGACCTTCGATTCGTTACGACGGACGAAAAGAAAAAGCAAGGTGGCATTCGTGAAAATGAAATTCTACTGCAACGTCGCAAAGATGGAAATGTTACGGTGCCATATCGTGTCATTGACAATCCGTCGAGGTTGTCGCCACAAGATTGGCATCGTGTTGTTGCTGTGTTTGTCATGGGACCCGCATGGCAATTCAAAGGTTGGCCTTGGAATGGAAATCCCGTCGAAATTTTCGCACAAAGTAAACATCCTTCTTTTGTTGTTTATTCAAAGAGATTGAATCAGTTTCTAATCGTGTTTTTTTTCTATTGTTTTCTCTACAGTTTGCGCGTTTCACTTGCGATTCGACGAAATGAAATTGGACGCGAATGTTGCACGTTGGGCTGTCACAGTATTGAATCTGTCACGAACCAAACGGCATTTGGACCGAGCTGCACTAATGACATTCTGGGAACGCTTGGATAGTTACATGTTGAAAAACAAACCCGATCTTCGATACTAAATCCATTTCATGTTCAACAATAGAAAACACAGCAAAAAAAATTATCCTTACGACTTCTACTTATTTGACAATTTGAATTGTATTCATGTAGCATATAGCTTCTGTTCTCTCCCGAAAAACATTAAAAATTGAAATTCCATTGCAATTGAAATCGATTGAAATGTTCTCTCTGTACACAACATTTCAATGACAACCCTTAATTGATTTCTAAGACGACCAAACTACATAGGAATGCATCTAATAAATAATTATGTAATAATTAAAAATCCGATTTTTTTTTTGTAATAATTAGTTTGTTTATTGTTCAATTTTTAATTGTGAGTCGTCACTTTTCAAAATATTTTAAGGAGAGCAGGTTTCGTTTTCCGAATAAATTAACGACAAATAGATCGTAATAAAGTGCCTCAAGAAGCATCCATCTGCATTTATCTCCAGTGGTTTTCGAAAACACAAGGTACCGAATCGGCCAATCGTAGCTTTGTTCGAATTTCTCTGCGAAAGGATTCGGTTGCTGTGGAAGCAGCCACCCAAATTGCTGTAAAATTTAAATCACGCATTGTATAAGCTAAGGATATTTATCAATCTATTCTCTATTCTATGTACCAATTTTGGTGAATTTCCAACGATTGTGAAAGATGACGCCACAGACCGTTGATGAGTCAGAGAGTCGTTCTTCGACGAGAAGCAACAATGTATCAAGCCATAATCGATTAACTTCGTCACTATCCACACGCTTTTCAAGAGTGATAATCCAACGACCACCGTTTTGATTATGTTCGTCTTCCCACATTGGTCGTATGTTGCTTCGAAATAGTGCATAATTACAGCCTTCATTTATTTCCGTTGGCAATTTTATCGAATTGAATAGAATCCAGAATTCACCGATTGATTTGCATGCGGCGACTTCGTGGAAACATTGATCCCATGCTTTGCCACATTCCTTTTCGAAATACCAAAGTGACCATTCACCTTTTGGCGAGCTCGGCTTTGGAGCCTCTACTTCAATGTTCCCAACACATGAATCCTTGCAGAGAAATTCAAATATGTGTTCAATTCTAAACAAAATTATTCAAATCCATCGAAAATTTATTCACTTACAACCAAATTCGATGCCATATTTCAACGTTACCCGTCTTTAACAGAATAATTACAAATTCAACAAAAGAAATGTGTATTCTGATTGAAAGAGCTATGGTTTCTTCGAATGATTTATTTTTTCGCATTATTTTAGTTTGATCTAAAAATGCCATTTTCATTAAAGTTAACATTGAAAGTGAAAAAAAAAACACGTATTTCCAATTGCCGAATTCAAAGTGATTGATATAAAATAGAGGTGAGTTTTATGATTTACTTTTTGCCTTCGACCATAATAATGTGATATCCGAATTTAGTTTTGATTGGTGGGTCAGTGTAAACAGGATTGGCTACGGTTGAAATAGGTAGCGCGAATGCAGCATCTTGGAATGGTCCGACCATCGCACCGCGTATTTGCCAGCCCAAATCACCACCTTGACGGGCTTTGTCTTCACTGTAAGCGGCAGCTACATCTGGGAATTTTTGGCCACTCTTCAATTTTTCCAATGCTTCTAAGCATTTTCCCTGCTTTTCGCACAATATGTGACGCACCTTCACTGAATTACCACCTTTCTTCTCTTTGCCGGCAGCACCTAATCGATTGTTTCGGTAAATATTTATTATTTGTCAATTCTGATGGACTCACAGATATTCTCAAAGTAAATTACCTTTATCAGCGGCATCGCCACCACCTTTTGCAGCTTTCCCTCCCTTATCCTTAGCTCCACCGCCTCCTTTTGCGTCTTTTTTTGGTGCCATGATTACAATTAGAAATGCCTACAAAATCAAAATAAATGCAAATTCGCTTCTAATTCATTTTTAAGGTTAGGTGTTGTTGACACTTGTAAACCAACATTCAGCTGTTTGAACGACAAAATCTTTTTTATCGACTTTGTTCATTTGAAAAAAAAAATTGTTTTGACATTTCTATATGTTTGTATTCACCGGCTGTTTTATAATTGCATCAAACATCATCTTAGCGAATATTATCGCAAACAAACCATTTGAAACACAGTTGAGCAAACCGAAATTGAAAAGTAATTTTTCGCAAAATTAACCCAGACAGCGGTTGTTCAATTAATTATACTGATTGGTTTAAGAGACAATTTTTTCATCAAATTTTTATACGTAAGTATTGTAGCGGTATTTTTTCTATGTACTACGTCTTATTGACTCCGACATTTTTATTTTAAAAAAGTAATAAAAGATCATCTTTGGAATAATACATCAATTCGATTCAATTAAAAAAGAACAATTATACGAAAAGTTGCCGAGAGAACATTGGCCTGTTAATGAGTTGATTATATTCATATAGCTTGTTTCAGTTGATTTGAACAAATCAACTTGTTATATTCAACAGAGTTGAATTCCCTTAATGGCTGAACGCGGTAATGTATCCGACCTGAAGCATCATTCAGAAGAAGTAGATGTAGGTGGTATACCAAGTAAAAGTCACAAGCCTGAAATAGAATGGATTGAAGCAACAGAACTGAAAGACAGCATTGACTGTCTTGAGCAAATTTTCCTGAGAAACCCATTGAGCCCATCGGATCTGCTGAACTTTGCGATGTCAGACAGCAAATTGAAGGAAGCGGCTGAACGGGCTTACAAGAGCAAATTCGGAAAATGGTTGGTGAAAATTAATTGCGAAGAAAAATCAGTGGAATTGTTCGACAACAACAACAACAAAAAAGCCATCCGATATAGCCGCGATGGAATTGGAGACAACTATAACAAGAAAACCAGCCGAAATGAAATTAAATGGCGGTATTGCCTAACATTCTTACGCCATTTTGGCCATTTGATTTCCAAATTGGAAATTTTCTATTGGGGAATGAAGACGTTAGTGAATTTGAAGTTTGCCGCACACTTGGATCATTACGTCAATGAATACTGTGCCGAGTCCTTGCTGGAAATCTCATTGGAAGAATGCGACAAAGAAGCGATGAAAGATTTGAAAAAACCGTTCACAAAAATTAAATCAGTTCGTTTTGTGTGTTGTCATTTGGGAAACGAGTTGTCGGACATCAATAAATGGTTCCCTAACGTGAGTCATTTGGAGTTCTCCAAAGAAAACCGTTTGGCAAATTGCTATGGAGTCGAGGTTTATCTCCCCTATTTGCGGAGCTTCAGTGTATATCTGCCGTTTGTAGAAGAAACCCGCTTGAGCAAAAGAAATGTGGTTGAGATTTTGCGTGCGAATCCTCAGATTGAAAGTTTGTACATTTGGGGTAGCTTCGGTGTTAACTACCTTCAAGAAATCAGCACATTTCTGCAGCAGTTGGGAAGCTTGAAAATTTCCGCACATACAATGTTCCATAATTTTGGCCGTGGCACCGCACATTTCAAAAACGTAAAGAAGTTTGAATTTCGGTATTATAATAAATGCACTAGAATTCCATTGTCGTTTGACAGCCTCGAGGAATATAAACACAACCCAGACCTGGGAAGCAGCGGAATCGATGAAGTTTTTGATTTCATCTGGCAGCAAAAGTCGCTCACTAAATTTACTTACAACGACAAATGCGAAATGAAAGGTGTACTATTTAGGTTAGCATTGCCATCACTAATAGAAATCGATATCCCACTCGGTGATTTTCCAATTGAAGAAGTGGTCGCTTTTATAAACCAATGCAGATTACTAAAGAAGCTTACGCTTACACTCGAATCTGGCTTCAAATCCTGTAACGATTGGCGAAAGCATTTAGGTACTGAGTGGCGCAAAACCAATGAACGTGAAGGATGGGGTCGTGGAAAGTCTATTACATTAGAACGTTGAATCGAGCTTACACAACGTCAACTCGTTAATATCATCGTTTCTTTTGACACATCACCACAATAATATTACCTAAACTGCAATCAATCAAATGTTCGTGCCAATGAAAAGAATTAAGAAATATATCTTTCTACAATCCTTATTAATATAAATAGAAACCATCAAGTTTTTTCTCGAATTTATTTAGAACATAAGTTTAAGCCCAAAAAACGAAAAATGTTCGTGCAAAAAAAAACTTGACAAAATTAAAAAGAAAATTCTAAGGAAAACCTGAATTCATCTGTAGTTTTTTTAACCCATTTTCTACCAGCGTTCGATTTTTCGAACAGAGGCCATCCCTATTCATATCTCAACCTAGAGATAGGCAACAATAACAGACATATACTCAAAAAACAAGTGTTGAATATTATTCTTAAAAATGTGTAAGTCCTCTGGGCCTATGTTCAGGAGGTGATTAGGGAAGCCCAGGGTGGATTTGGAGATAATAAAGAATCCCGGACTAATGACCAATTTTCGAAAAATCGAACAAAAATTTTCCGGGGCTTTTCTGGAAAACTACAAGACGAATTTTCCATCTGACATTTTTTTTCATTTCTTCATGTCAAAATAATTCTAAATAGGCTTATAGTTAATATTCTTAAATAAAGCATAACGGCTTTTGATTGATCAGTTTGTGAGCCTACAAAAATATGGCTTTCCGGAAAATCCATTTGCCGGAAAAACTGCAAACAAAATTTTCCCATATGACAGTTTTTTCTGGGCTTCCAGGTGAAAATCATGCAAGATAGACTATTGGTTACTTATTTCGAACCCACTTTTGCACCTTGGTAAAAAATGGGTTAATACATCAAACATCGAGTCTTTCGAATAAAAACAATTTAAATGTATCTGTTGAAGTTGAAAGTACAATCAAGGATCACGAAGGAAGTTTCAAAAACTAGCAAAAAAAACTATGGTAATTTTTTCATTCAGCTGTTCGTTTGACGAAATATTTTTAACTGTGCATACCATCAACGAAATTGCAGTAAACCATAATTGATGACGGTGTGTGGAAATGCAGGTAGGATATCCCTATGATTACAGTTCATATGTCTTTTAAATAGAACACAACAAGTGTTTCTATCATTTTTATACGCTGTAGACATAACGCAAAACGCACACCTCTTGTGAAACGGTTATCATTATTTACCGTGTATTTTGTTTTGATTTAATTTCATGCTGTACGTATGTATCTGTGTTTTCTTCTTCTCACATTTTAAAATTGACTGGCTACATTAAGATATGTATAATCATCACAGTTGTATTTTTCGATATATTATATGGCATTAACTGAATATTTGTTGTTGAACATTTATATGAAATGAGTGTGTGCGAGAATTGAAAAGAATGGGGAAAATATAGGAAATAGTAAGTGTGATAATAAAGTAATAAATGTTTTAGAATTTTACAAGCATTGTATCTGTAGGCAGATCGGCTTTGTGCATTTGCATAAATGCGCTCACTGCCTCCACAACATTAGCGTATGCGTATTAATTGTGTATATCATGTACAATTGACAGTCGCTGCGGTGTTGTGTAATAGAGAGTATAATTATTGATGCGTCATTGGAATGAACCTCACTCTGACCAACGTCACAACACTTCAATGGAGAAGGTTGGTACTTCAATGGAGAAGGTTGGTAATTCAATGGAGAAGGTTGGTACTTCAGTGGAGAAGGTTGCTGACGTCACGGCAACTCAATGGAGTAGGTTAGTAATCAACACAGAAGATTATTGACGTCACTACTATTCAATGGGGAAGGTTAGTGATTCAATGGAGAAGGTTCATTCGCGTGACGTAGTCTGTTTATTTTTAAGCCTTAAGAGATTAGTATATAAGGATTGAGCCGATTACGGTCGGCGTTCAGTTCAATTTAGTTTTCATCCAGCAATCTAACCAAACCGTTTGTCACTTGTGTGGAAATAAAGAATTAATGTGAAAAAACCAAATCAAATAAAAAGGTGTCTGATTAATTCCTCTATCCAAATACCACTCGGCTTACATATCATACATTTCGTATTCCATTCGATTCCGAAGATTGGCTTCCAAGATTCCTTTTTGCATTCAGTAACAGGTCGAATGGTGAGTTTTTCTAATTCACGTAATTCTCTCAGAATAATTGGGAAATTTTGAGTTAGGCTGCGAAGATAAGTATGGTGCAATTTAATATTTCCAATTTTTTATAACGCAATATGAAGTTGAGTGCGGTCTGTGGACTGTTCATTCTTCCCACTGTCAATTTCTTGAGATCTTTGAACTCAAATAATTCCAAATAAAACCCTGTGAGGGAAAATTTCGGTGGGAATTAGCATCGTATTCAATGTATGCATTGAGACGCTGGAAAATTTTTCGACGCGCCACCTATAGCAAAAGTTTCCGCGCCAAACAACTACTGTGACAGCATACATTCTGTTTGGCAAATGTGTTTTGTCATTACATCGCAGATTCGACGAAACGAGTGAGAATGACAGAGGCGGCGTAGATGGTGCGTCGAAAAAATTTCCAGCCGATTTTGCTGTTATTAATGCCCTACGGAAAATTTATCGATGGTTTTGAAATGACGAATAATCGGATTCCGTATCGTTGCATTTCTTCCACGCATATCAGCTGTGTATAATGACAATTTTTTCAATTGTGTCAGATTTTCATCAATGGGAGAATATATTAAGTCATTGTAGTTATGTCCGCGTGTTTCTTTTATCAATGATAATTTTTTGATGTGTCGATTCATGCGCAAAAAAGAAATAATAGAATCCACGTCTTCACGGTTAGTCAATCTCAACTTAGCATTTTCCAATTTGGGAAATGTTTTTTCAACTGTTTTTGTCCAAGAAGGTAGTTTCAATGTACGAAGATTTTGATAAAATTTCAATAAATTATGAACCAAATCCAAATCCAGGAGAATCCTTTCATGAATGAAGAGTTTCTGTATCTTTTTAAGTGGCTTTACCATCGCAAACCATGGACAACCCATGACTTCCATTACTTCCACTGAATCAGCACAATATTCGGAAACGTATTCTAACACGTGTATCCATTTTAGATTAACGGGACTTAGCTGCTTCCCATACCTTTCTTCTACATAAAGGAGGCGAAGATATTTGATTGATTCTCCGAAATTCCGCAATAATTTAAACCAAGTTCTGGCATCTTCAATTCTGACAATCTTTTTGTACCTAAATGAAATCGGAAGGTGTTTGCACACTCTTGACCTATCCTGATCCGGGTCTGGGACATGATCAATTGATATTAGATGATTTCCATATTTTCGAGAGAATACTGATCCAGCAATATTTCAAAGTCGTTTGTTTACGTCGGAAACGTATGCCAAATCCTGCAGATCCAAAAGATACAGAATCGAATCAATTACGTCGTCGCATAAATCGTCGAATCTCGTTGGTGTTTTCTTGTATTCAATCACTTTCTGTTCCTCTGAAGGATGAGTTGTTTCATGTTGAGATTTTCATTTCAGTTTAATGTTGCTTAATGGACTCGATATAACAATGGAAAATGAATATTAGAGGTTTTAACACGTTTTGGTTTCCAGTGACGATCGTTGATTGAATCTCCAAATACTGAAAGCGTTTTTGTATACAAACCTCCTCGTTGTGGAAATTACACGTAGTCTGTTCGTTGTTGTCAAAAAGATCGTGTTTGTAGACTGTGTTCTGCACTTCTTGGATATCAGCTTCACGAGACACAACCATCATCATTTTGAAATGCGGCTTCAATGAAAAACATGAAAAATCGTATCTTATCGTTATTTCCAACGGAATTTTCAATGCTTCGGAACATACCTTTATACTTCAGACTCAACAGCTTTTGTCGTTCGGGCTGAACATTTGTGAGTTTGGCAATTTTATGCTTGAGCATGGCCACCGTTTCCTGGATGCTGATATCCGTTATCGAATACTCTTTTCCATTCCATTTCACGATGAACGACACATCCTTAGGCGAGCTCATTTTTAAAATTGTGTGTAGTGAAAAATTTCCAACAGCACATGGCAAAAACACATTAGTCACTCTGTAGAGTTAGTGTGTGAATGAAAACTACGATTGTCAGCTCGCCAACTATGGAAAATAAAATGGCGAAACTTTTGGTATATGACACTTGACATATTGGTGTTCCCCAATTCGAGATATGTCGATTGCGTGGGTTCATCCCCTGTTAGTTTCGCTCAACTACAAAGAAATAATGCTTCACTATGTTTGGCAGACAAGCGTGAAAATAAGTTGATATGGGTTGCATTTAGTAAAATACATTAGAATCTTTTTCAATCAATGCAATGGCAACACAATGTTGTCAGGTGTCATATAGGGCAACTCAAAATGGCGGCTGAATCATTGAGCCATCGGTACGATGCCTAATGGAAGGAGAACTGAACCCGTGAGCATAAAAACGACTTATTAAACAATCGCCGAACAAAATGATACAAGAAAAAACTACCGAACAAAACGTACCACAGCGGTAATGTGTAGCACAGCGGAGTTTCGTTTTGAACGGTACCGTCCTGCTGTGTTACGTTTTTAACGTGTGTTTTGTTTGGTAGTTTTTTCTTGTATCGTTTTGTTCGGCGATTGTTTAATAAGTCGTTTTTATGCTCACGGGTTCAACTAAAAGGAGTATTTTTCCTCTACTGATGATCAGAATCACATGTGATGCAATGCAATCACAGCACATTGGCTAATTTAATTACGCACAATTTTTATGATTTTGACCAAATAGAAGTGCCGAATATGTACTCGCGGTGTTTGGTCTTAAAATGACATTGCAACAGAAAAATGCACGCATACATCTTTCTCAGTCATCGTATGCGATGGTCAGCATAAACAATACCATATACTAACGAATGAACAATTCTAAGTAAAAGTTTCCGGGAATTTGGTCAATAAAAAGTGTTTTGGTTTGGATTTTCCGTACTAATTTCCAATGATAAACATCACATTGTCGTGAATTTCTATTCCCTTTCCCATTAACATAGCTCAATATATCTTCTTCATTCAATTGGCTGCTTTTTTGTGCGCATCCATTCAATATGGATATGGTCGTAAAGAGATATTTAAAGAAAAATTGCATCAAGATCTTGAGACAGTTTGGATATTCGCATTGGTAAATGATGTGGCGCATTGTGCGTGAGGGAGATAGATACACAGACATTTCAAACGGTTAAATGATTCTTTCCAATCTAGATTTGTTGTGTTATTATGCGATCGCAATTTCTATTGCGACAAATTC